CAATTACTTTACAATGACCAATAAATTTTAACACATTAAATGCCCAGTCAGTCACCGGTGACTGACACTATACTTTCCGTCCGGAAGACAAAACAGGCTGGGTGCTTAACATGTTAAACAAATTCATCTTTATAAAATTATATTCTTAAAAATTTATCAGCAAAGCAAGGTTTTAAAAGCCTATAGAATCTATTGTTATTCTTATTGTGTTCATGCAAACAATCAGACCAAATAGAAACTTAACATGATACAGTAAATATATTGGTCTTAATTTGGCTCTTTAATAAAAATGAGGGTGATTTTAGGGAGGGGGAATTATGTTTACATAGACTTTATAGTACACAGTTATGAATATTAGACTCACAGCTTTATTTTTCATTTATGATTTGAATTGGATACTAAATTAATCTTAAATATTTGGCTACAACCCTCCAAACTATTCTTTCTTTCCTTCCATCAGATCATTTGTCATAATTCTTGCTGTTCTAGCTTTTGTCCCAATAATAGTAAGATTTGTAGCACAGTTTGTCTCCATCCGGTAATAAGCCCTGCTTGTACTCAGGAAATACCACTCCTCAACACCATCACAATCTCCTTTTGTGGCCAGGCCTCATTGTCCCTAACAGAGAGCAAGGAGTTTTGGCTCTGAAGAAAAATGTTGCCCCTTTCAGCAGGAAGCAGCTATAGAAGAGACCTTACACCCTCTTTTCTCTGAAAGAATTCAGTGCCAAGATACTTGAGGGGGGAGAGGGGGAATGTTAGACAGAACCCAGAGCAAGAATGATGGACTAGGTACAGAAACTCACTAGGGCAGAAAGACCTAGATGCCTAGCAAGGGGCAAAACTGGGAAAACAAGAACCTCGCCCCCAGGGTAATCTATCTTCCCCTAGCATATCACTGGTCATGTGATTTGGACTCCAGATCTTTCATATCTCTAATCAGGCCATTTATACCCCCTGACCTTTTCCTCCCTAAAGATTAACATCTAGGCCTCAGTTGTATTTCAGCTTCCGGCCCAGAGAAGCAGCAAAACCAGACACGTGGTGCTGTGGCTGCCTCAGGACCAGCTTTTACCTCTCAAGTCATTCAGCTGGTTTCCTTGGGTATCTGATAATTTCACCCTCCCTTATAATAATGGTCACACTAAGGTGCTAGGTGATTGGTTTCTGATATGTGGCATAACTGTTTATTAAGAATAATTATTAACAAACAGAAAGAGGAGGGAAGCATTAGGCCTATAGGACAATACAATCCTTAGCAGCCATCTGTAAGCTTCCCACCACAGGAGAACAAAAGACCAAGAAAAACTCACTAGACAGCAGGAGTCAGACCATACAAGGAAAGGAAACTGTTCTGAAGGCTACTGATTGCACACCTGCATTCCATCCACATTCCAAGCCCACCAGCTCAGCCCCCAAACCCACTGATGACAAGTTTCCTGCCAGTGACTGCATATAAGGATGAAACTCTGGCTTCTGGGTGCTGTCATCATTGACCCAATGACCCCTTGGCTTGGTGCTATGCAGCCCTTCCTTTGGATACTCCAACCCCCATCCTTAAATAAATTTAATTTTTTTAAAAAAAAATTACCAGCTGAATTTGTAATAATTTGAAGAAGTATTTGTTCCAGTTGTCATCTCAAAATCAATGCAGCATACATTTATTGAGTACCCACAATGCATCAGGTACTGTTTTGAGCACCAGTAAAAAAAAATTCTGTCTCTGCAATTGTAAAGAGAAGGGTATAGACAACTTTAAACAACTAGAGCAGCGGTTCCCACCCTGTGGGTCGCAACCCCTTTGGGGGTCGAACGACCCTTTCATAGGGGTCGCCTAAGACCATCGGAAAACACATATATAATTACATATTGTTTTTGTGATTAATCACTATGCTTTAATTATGTTCAATTTGTAACAATGAAATTGGGGGTCACCACAACATGAGGAACTGTATTAAAGGGTCGTGGCATTAGGAAGGTTGAGAACCACTGAACTAGAGGCCTGGTGCACAAATTTTTGCATGGGTGGGGTCCTTTGGCCTGGCTGTTGATCAGGGCCAGCTGGGGGGAGGGACTGCAGGAGGTTGGCTATGGGAGTGCACTGACCACCAGGGGGCAGCTCCTGCATTGAGCATTGAGCACCTGCCCCCTGGTGGTCAGTGTGCACCATAGCTACCGGCCGGTCAGCCGGTCATAACGGTTGCTTAGGCATATATATATATATATATATATATATATATATATATATATGGCTTATATATTGCTTATATATATATTGCTATGTGTTATAACCATGGTACAGCAAAGTTCCTAGAAACAGATTATTTCTCTCTGGGAATGCAGAGGGGTATAGCTTTAAGTAGGAGCCTAGAGCCTTTTATTTCTAACAGCACAGTTTGACAGGATTTGGTTTTCAAATTTGAACTTCTATATTAGTCTACTTTTCAAATTTTGGTGAGATGCTTTAAAGGTAAGTCCTATATAGTTAAACCTATGAAAGTTTGAGAAACTGGAGAAGTGAGATTAATATGAACATAAGCTAATTTTAGTCAGGCACCAGAATCATCACATGCCATTTCCTCTTATACTTTTCTTCTGTAAACCCATTCCAAGGTTTCTTCACCACATTCTTTATTGTCATTTCAGACATTATCAATGTGCCTGATACATCACCCACTACTCCTCCTCTACTCCTAACTTTGAGATGGTACTGCTTCCATATATGCTGACATTCTAGTTATGACAATAATCAATACCTCTGCCATGAGGTCATTATATCCTTTTGTAATACCCACTGCTAATCGCATGTGTTTGTTTCCCACACAGAATGCATGATGTGGTTATTAATTATTAGTGGGTTGTTGTTGTTTTTTATGCCTTCCCTAAAATTCCACTATAATTTACCAATATCTACATATTTTATCCTCAAATTCTCCAGGTGATTATTAAGGAAGTAAAAATGTAGTAATCTTTAGTTATTTCTTACAAATTCTCAATTTTCTTCCCTGAAATTTCCCATTACACAGATGTTTATTTCCTAAGGATGATTGCAGGACTACATACAGAGCTGTATTCCAGAATTCAGCATACATGTGTATCTAGTTTGAGGCACTAGAGCTGGAATACAAAGCAAGGAACAATACCTGTTTGCACTGCCTTCACTCAAAATTGTCTTCCTTCCAGGATTAAGACTGTGCCTGGCCAACTGGCTGTCTAAAATAGCCTGCATACGGGACTGGCGCCCTCTGGTGGTAAGAGGATACCCTGAGTAGAATGTCTGAGATATAGAGCCTCAATACTGCTTCATCACCTAAAGACCTGGGTACCTCCAGACTCCTATTTTGTTAACTTTATGTAGAATTGGTCCCTTTTCCCTTTATTTTCCCCTTCCTTTCTTATTTTTTAACTCCTTTATCACAGTGCCAATACAGTGAGTCTATATGAGAAACTCAAGGATGATGACAGTGTTGGCATAATGACTTGTGACATAAAGTTTGATTTAGTCACAACAGAATATCAGTGGTTCTTGAAAGAGGATGGTAATTACCCATTTGTCATTTCTCATAATACGAAAAACATGAGTATGAATGCATACTGAGGGATTTTGCTCCAAATATGCATTCAATAAAGAAAACATGCATTCGATATTATAATTGATAAATGAGAACTAAGATCAACTGTGAAATATTCTTTATATATTGTTAACATCAGAATCAAATCAAATTTTAATGATAATGAACATTTCTTTTTGTCTAAAATTAGAGATTAGCAATAACGACCACTCAAATTCCTCTCTCCTCACCAAATTCTGGGTCTTGTGCGTGACTACAAGTGTTTCTAAGAAAAAGTCAATGTAATAGTTATCTTGCATGAATCTATCAGGTGCTGCAGCAGTATTTCACCTAATGTCTGTGGTCTGACAAAGTGCATTGCCTTTCTAAACATCCATCTTACTTCTGTCAATTGAGCTCAAACTCTTACGTTTGGTATACCCCCTGAATATAATTTTTTAGAAAAATAGGAACTGTAGTTAGAAGGTTATTGTTGATTCTAAAATGTGACTATTTCTATTTATATTCTATGAAGAGGCAAATTACTCCATCTAAAGTTATCACATATATATTTTGAGTTCCTATAAAGGGCCTATAGAATAAGAAACTGAATTAAATTCTGTTAAAGCTAATTTAAATTATCATTATTTTCCATTAAACGCAATTTATTATGAAACGTTTACTCTCCCTTCATAATTTGTAAATACTCAGCAATTCAACTGTAAAGTGTAGAAATTATCAATAATATCTAATTGATAAAATTAAAAGGGCTCTCATTCCAGCCTTGGATAAAGAACAGTCACAGTGTCTACACCGTAGAAATACTATGTGGCAAGAGTAAAGGGTAAAGGCAGAAGTAAAGGGTAGAATTATTTGGTATGTTCAAATGTAAAACAAATTAGGAAAAGCTAGACCCATTAAATGAAAGTATAATAACTGTTCTCTCTGTTTCTATTATTGTCTCTCTAAAGTCAAATCTTGACCCAGTGTAAGTAATCTTTTAAAAATGTATGCCAGACCATGTCAATCTCCTGATCTCAGCCATCATAGCTTATATGAAAGTTTTTACCATGGCCTACAAATTCCGACATGTACCAGCCATGGCTATCCCTTCAACAGCATTTCCTACCAGTCTCCCCATAATTCATTCATGTTTAGAAGCAATCATATTGTCAAAAGAATTGGCAAAGTGTACATCTGTTCTTGTGCTTAATATTTCATTCCAAAGGTTATTCAGGTTTTCTATAATGAAGTGACAAATGCTAACACAGGCACAGTGGACCAGTATGACCAATATGATGATTGCCAAGAGACAGAATCCAGTTGTCGGAAGTTAATCATACATATCTTAATTCTCTGAAGAAGTGGTTCTTACTGACATGCTGGCAATTAGGGCAGGAATTACTCTGCTGATGATACTCCACCAAGTAACACCCACTAAAGGCTTACCTGCAGCGACTATGATAATATCTGCCAGCTGAGTATGGATCTTCAGTTGTTCTTTGGGGGTATATCTGTGAGCTATTGTCACTGTTGCATCACCTGGAATGCAGAAGAATTCCATTAATGATTACTTAACTTATTCATAATTTATGAGTGCTCCAATTCTAGAGGAGTTTCAATTACATCCTAAGTGTGAAAAATTGCTTTGAAATAATTAAATCACTTTAAAAACAAAAGCTAGATATGAAAATATAGATGACCCATATCACTGTACCCTTCAACTGACCAGCGGAAAATCGAATAGCCCAAATGAGGGTATGTGCTGATCATATAGGACAGCTATAAGTAGGATCCTAGAAACCTAGCACTTGAAAGTTCTGAATTGACAAGTTAATACACAGTCACTCATTGGCTTGATAATAAAATTTATAAATACTGAAAACAGCAAGACAAGTGCACTAAAAATGGGGCAACATCTTGTAGCAGGACAGGTTAGAGATTAATTCTGCCTCATTTGGCAGGTACCACATTCATCTTGAGGAGGTGTCAAAAAAGGGTTCCTAAAAGAGGTAATAGACTTTGTTAGTTCTTAAAGCATGAGTAGTAGTACACCAATCAGGGAAGGGGGAAAAAAGGAATTCCAAGGCAAAAGAATGGTAAGGAAAAATGAACCAACTTTGAAATTATGTGTTTAAGAAGTGATGAAGAAGTCTAGGCTATAAGGGAAAGTATTCATACATGCTTTAACAAAGTGATGTATGAATAAGAGAGGTTAGCAGACTGCGGGATTTCAGTGCTTAAAGTGAGAGCCATTGAAGAGGAGTAAGAGGCAGTGATGATGGGTCAAAGGAACGACTCCCGATATGAACATGGCTGTGTGAGACAGTATTCTCTCTTTTCCCTTTCTGCATAACATACAACAAAAATGGCATAGTCTCTATTTTTAGGAAAACTAGAAGACATACCACAGGGAGAAAGACAGCAAAGAAATGGGCAGAATAACAAGACGTTCGGCAACAACAGATCTCTGAGAATGACTGCAAAAATATACTTCCTGAAGGTGAAGAGTTCACATGAAAATGCAAATATTTGTAGCAGATAAAATAGGAAGAAAGACTGGAGAAGTCTTCTGAGACCCAGTATAGTTCAACAGTAAGGAACACAAAGACTTACACAGGGAAGGATTTCAACAGGAAGGAAGTAGTTGAATTCTGTGAAGTGAAGGAGGAATCTGAAGGCTGCCCAGTACCTCCTTTACAACTACTAGCAGAAGTATCCTGCAAATAGCAGATCCAAGACATCCACCTCTTCAATAAGTAATTTACAAAAGCATTTGACAAAGCATTGAACGCATATCATATAAAGATCAGCCCAGGGGAATTTGAATGGTGACAGAACTGTTCAAGGTTCTATTGGTAGTTATATGACTATATGCATTTGTCTAAACTCGTGGAACTGTATACCTAAAAGAGTGAATTTTACTATATGCAGTTTTCTTAAGTAAATAAAAGGATAAATTTTAAAAGTGGCAGGCCCTATATAGGCCTAACCAATGGACACAGACAACAGGGGGGTGAGGGCATGAGTGGAGGGAATGGGGGTTAATATGGGGATAAGGACACATATGTAATAACTTAATCAATAAGGAAATTAAAAAAATAAAATAAAAGTGGCAGGCCCAAGAAAAAAAGCAAAATAAATAAATCCAATCAGAAAGAATATATGCACCCCTATGTTCATAGCAGTATTTTTTACAATAGCTAAGATCTGGAAACAGCCCAAATGCCCACCAGTACATGATTGGATAAAAAAGCTATGGTACATTTACACCATGGACTACTATGCAGCAATAAAAAATAAGGCTGTTTTACCCTTTGCAACAGCATGGAGGGACCTGGAGATTAATATGCTAAATGTAATAAGCCAGTCAGAGAAAGACAAATATCACATGACCTCATTTATATGTGATACCTAATGAACAAAATAAACTCACAAACAAAATAGGTCCGGAAGCATGGATGCATGGAACAGACTGAGGGAGTGGGGTATGGGAAACCAAATAACACGTGTTCCTGGTCATGAGAGCTAGCTATCCAGTGTTAAAATAAAATAAAAAATAATAATAAATAAAAATGGAGACTAACCTTGAAATTTCTCTGAGCAGGCAAAACCAGTTTAGTCATATAAGCAAAGTTTAACTTAACTTATTTAACAAGGTTAATTTGACCTGGATCATTTCTTGCTTATGCCTCTGAAAATCATAAACAAAATTTGAACTGTTTCCCAAGGTTCATATGAGATAACCATTGACCAATTCCCTATCATTTAAAAAAATTCTAATCCTATAACCAATCACTGTGAAGAATAAATAGTCCCTGCTTTCTCGCTAATATAAGCTGTCTTAGAACAATATACAGTACTCCTGAGCCTCATCCATATTTTGGTTTGAGGGCTCCTAGTTTGCAAACTATCTATTTGGTGTATAAACAATAAACTTTTACTGATTACTACTTCAGTGACTGATTATGTTTTGTCTGAACTTTTGATGCCTGCTAACTATATTCTCATTTAACCTGTCTTAATTGACATAGTGAAAACTCTTGTCATTCCTATTTCCAGTCCTGGTATCCCACTACTTTTCTTCAACAAATCCTCTGGCTTGCTGCACCTAATCCATTCTATCTCCTCAGCTTTTTCCATAGGTAACCAGTACTAGCAAGTTGCAACAGTTACTCCTTAGAATGGTGTGTATCTCTGACCCTCTGATGACTTTTTCCCCCTCACTCAGTTTCATGTCCTATTGCTCAGATGATAATAGCCTTGGCAAGAACCTAATATTTCTAAGCATTCCACAGACCCAGGTAAAAATTTATAAGCAGAGTCTTAAGCAACTTATTTGTTTCTGCAGTTTTGCATAAGTTATAGAGATCATGGTAGCCTAGAAAACTTCAAATACCTACTGTGCCTGCATCAGCAAATACAGCAAAATGGCAAACCCAGTAAGGGCTGGAATCTCATGTGTAGGGTTTCTTTTGTCACTTTCTCTAGATAAGGAAAAACTAAGTCATTCCCAACACATTAACTCACTCTATGGTCTGGTTTAAAGGGAAAAAAAATCATTGAGGAAAACTCAGTACCCATCAACAGAACAGCACTCAATGAGTCTTAAAATAATACTGCACTCTCTTGACTCTGAATTCCAGTTACTGCATGCTTTCTATCTCATCTTCAGCTGCTTTTTCTGGATTAAACTGTTTAAATTTTAGATATTGTTGCAGAACACTCAGGTCTAAGCCTTCTGTCCGAGTTTTAAATGGGGTAGGCTTTACTGTCTTTATCTGGTCAAGACCTGGCTGGTTTGACTTGCTGTTTAGCAGTCTTCCAGTTGTTTTCCAAACACTTTGGCCAATTGTTTCACTTTTAACTAGTCAAATACAGTTTCAAGCTCAGTCCTTTTGAACACCTATTGTTCCTTGGAGAGAAAGAGTTTTATGGACAACTGACTGAATCCTGACCATCAGTGTCTGTAGATATTTTAAAATCTGCCCCAGTTTTGGCCAAAAATTATTGAATTGAAATTGTGGATGCATTTATTCAACAAAGAAAATATACAAATGAGCATATATATATATATATATATATATATATATATACACACACACACACACACACACACACACACACTAGAGGCCCGGTACACGTGGGGTCCCTCGGCCTGGCCTGCAGGGATGAGTGGACCTCCACATTGCCACAGCCCAGCCTTACCAGCTCATCGGGCTCCAGCCTGCTGTCCACATCGATCCCACACAGCACAAAGTAGTGTGTGAAGCAGAAGGTGACTGGGGAGGAGCCTGAGTCTGGGCTGGACGCTGTGCCGCTCCTGCTCATCCTGGCCCCGCTGCACCTGCCGCAGCTGCCACTACTCAGGCATACAAAGGGAGTGTCCACAGGAGAGGCTCACACCACTGCAGCTACTCACCAGCCGTGAGCCCAGTGTCTGGAGCCCATCTGTCAGCTGAGCAGCACTCCCGCTGTGGGAGCTGCTGCATTGAGAGTCTGCCCCCTGGTGGTCAGTGCACATCATAGCTACCAGCCAGTCATCCCGTCACTTAGGCTTTTATAGCCTATCTAATAATCCTATCTAATAATAGACAAACATGGTAATTGACCGTACCTTCTCTATGCCTCCCACTGGCCAATCAGCACAATAGGCAAATTAACCACCAACAAAGATGGCGGCTAATTTGCATACTGCAGGCAGGGCGGGACAGCGCGAGCCGCCGGCGCGCCCCCATCCAGGGCAGGCCGGCCACAGAAGCCCCAGCAGCCGGCCTTGCCTTGCGGCCCGGGACCCGCCGCCGCAGGTCCAGGATGGCAAGGCAAGGCCCGTCCCCAGAAACCCCAGCTACTTTAAAAATAGAACGATCTCCTTTTGAACCAATCTGTTTAGATTCAGGATTAGTAAAACAGTATGAAACTAATGAAATACAGTGATAGGAATTAGGAAGTGTGACACTGATGGTTCTGGGCATGTGAAGGGTGAGGGACAGAAGGGTACACATGGGTCTTCTCTTCAGTTCTGCCGGAAAGATGAGCTTCGAGGGCCCAAGCTGCTCCATGCCCAGAGGAGGTGGGTGTGGTCAGTGGCTCTATTTCAGAACTTCCTGCCAAGCAGAGACCTTACCCGACCCACAGGAACCTTTTTACTCCAGAAAACAGAAACAGCCAGTTCCCAATGGGCATGGGAAAACCAGTGTCCCTTCCTGTGCACAGCGTCCTGATGGGGTGACAGGGGAGGTGGGCGAGCGGAGCAGTGCAGAGTTGTTAGGCAGCTGGAGTGGGAGTGGTACGGCCATGAAATATCCATAGTCCTGGCTGTGCCCATAGCCTGGGCTTCTCCTCCAGGCCCTGGTTGAGGGATTAGGGCTGATTCTCTCAGGAAGGGAATATTCCATGGGTGGAAGATTTACAGGCTCAGGGTGGGCCGTGTGTTAGTTTGGGGCAAATCCCTCAGCATTCCTGCTGCCAAGCCCTCAAAGGAATGAGGCAGAGGCACCCCTCACCCCCAAGACCCCTTTGTGGACATTTTAGCATCTATG